CCCATAGGTTTTGGGTCGTCCTGTCTCCATTGTCATTTGTTTCTAGGTATTTTTTGATTTCCTATTTGATTTCTTCAGTGACCACTTTGTTATTAAGTAGTGTATTGTTTAGTCTCCATGTCTTTGTACTTTTTACAGATCTTTTCCTGTAATTGATATCTAGTCTCATAGCATTGTGGTCGGAAAAGATACGTGATACAATTTCAATTTTCTTAAATTTACCAAGAATTGATTTGTGACCCAAGATATGATCTATCCTGGAGAATGTTCCATGAGCACTTGAGCAAAATGTGTATTCTGCTGTTTTTGGATGGAATGTCCTATAAATATCAACTAAGTCCATCTTGTTTAATGTGTCATTTAAAGCTTGTGTTTCCTTATTTATTTTCATTTTGGATGATCTGTCCATTGGTGAAAGTGGGGTGTGTTAAAGTCCCCTACTATGATTGTGTTACTGTCGATTTCCCCTTTTATGGCTGTTAGCATCTGCCTTAAGTACTGAGGTGCTCCTATGTTGGGTGCATAAATATTTACAATTGTTATATCTTCTTCTTGGATTGATCCCTTGATCATTATGTAGTGTCCAGTCCTTATTTTAAAGTCTATTTTGTCTGATATGAGAATTGCTACTCCAGCTTTCTTTTGGTTTCCATTTGCATGGAATATCTTTTTCCATCCCCTTACTTTCAGTCTGTATGTGTCTCTAGGTCTGAAGTGGGTCTCTTGTAGACAGCATATATATGGGTCTTGTTTTTGTATCCATTCAGCCATTCTGTGTCTTTTTTGGGGAGCATTTAATCCATTTACATTTAAGGTAATTATTGTTATGTATGTTCCTTTCCCATTTTCTTAAGTGTTTTGGGTTTGTTATTGTAGGTCTTTTCCTTCTCTTGTGTTTCTTGCCTAGAGAAGGTCCTTTAGCATTTGTTGTAAAGCTGGTTTGGTGGTGCTGAACTCTCTCAGCTTTTGCTTGTCTGTAAAGGTTTTAATTTCTCCATCAAATCTGAATGAGATCCTTGCCAGGTAGAGTAATCTTGGTTGTAGGTTTTTCTCCTTCATCACTTTAAATATGTCCTTCCAGTCTCTTCTGGCTTGCAGAGTTTCTGCTGAAAGATCAGCTGTTAACATTATGGGGATTCCCTGTGTGTTATTTGTTGTTTTTCTCTTGCTGCTTTTAATATGTTTTCTTTGTATTTAATTTTTGACAGTTTGGTTAATATGTGTCTTGGCATATTTCTCCTTGGATTTATCCTGTATGGGACTCTCTGTGCTTCATTAACTATTTCCTTTCCCATATTAGGGAAATTTTCAACTATAATCTCTTCAAATATTTTCTCAGTCCCTTTCTTTTTCTCTTCTTCTTCTGGAACCCCTATGATTCGAATGTTGGTGCATTTAATGTTGTCCCAGAGGTGTCTGAGACTGTCCTCAGTTCTTCTGATTCTTTTTTCTTTCTTCTGCTCTGCAGTAGTTATTTCCACTATTTTATCTTCCAGGTCACTTATCCGTTCCTCTGCCTCAGTTATTCTGCTATTGATCCCATCTAGAGTATTTTTAATTTCATTTATTGTGTTGTTCATCATTGTCTGTTTCATCTTTATTTCTTCTAGGTCCTTGTTAACTGCTTCTTGCATTTTGTCCATTCTATTTCCAAGATTTTGGATCATCTTTACTATCATTATTCTGAACTCTTTTTCAGGTAGACTGCCTATTTCCTCTTCATTTGTTAGGTCTGGTGGGTTTTTATCTTGCTCCTTCATCTGCTGTGTGTTTTTCTGTCTTCTCATTTTGCTTATCTTACTGTGATTGGGTTCACCTTTTTGCAGGCTGCAAGTTCGTAGCTCCCGTTGTTTTTGATGTCTGTCAAAACTTGGCTCAGTGGGTTGTGTAGGCTTCTTGGTGGAGGGGACAAGTGCCTGTGTTCTGGTGGGTGAGGCTGGATCTTGTCATTCTGGTGGGCAGGTCCACATCTGGTGGTGTGTTTTCAGGTGTCTGTGGACTGAATATGATTTTAGGCCGCCTCTCTGCTAATGGGTGGGGTTGTGTTCCTGTCTTACTTGTTGTTTGGCATAGGGTGTCCAGCACTGTATCTTGCTGGTCGTTGAGTGAAGCTGGGTGTTGGTGTTGAGATGGAGATCCCTGGGAGATTTTCTCTGTTTGATATTACGTGGAGCTGGGAGGTCTCTTGTGGACCAGGGTCCTGAAGTTGGCTCTCCCACCTCAGAAGCACAGCACTGACTCTTGGCTGTAGCACCAAGAGCCTTTCATCCACACAGCTCAGAATAAAAGGGAGAAAAAGTAGAAAGAAAGAAAGAAAGAAAGAAAGAGGACAATAGAAAATAAAATAAAGTAAGGTAAAATAAAATAGAGTTATTAAAATAAAAAAATAATTATTAAGGAAAAACAATTTTTAAAGTAGAAAAAGCAAACAAACCAAAAGGACAAATAGAACCCTAGGCCAAATGATGAAAGCAAAGCTATACAGAAAAAGTCTCACACAGAAGCATACACATACACACAAAAAGAGGAAAAGGGGGAAAAAATCATAAATCTTAACACAAAAAGACGAAAAGCGGAAAAAATAATAAATCTTGCTCTCAAAGTCCACCTCCTCAATTTGGGATGATTCGTTGTCTGTTCAGGTATTCCACAGATGCAGGGTACATCAAGTTGATTGTGGAGATTTAATCCACTGCTCCTGAGGCTGCTGGGAGAGATTTCCCTTTCTCTTCTTTGCTCGCACAGCTCCTGGGGTTCAGCTTTGGATTTGGCCCCGCCTCTGAGTGTAGGACGCCAGAGAGCGTCTCAGACAGGACGGGGTTAAAGGAGCCGCTGATTTGGGGGCTAGGGCTCGCTCAGGCCAGGGGGAGGGAGGGGCACGGTGTGCGGGCAAGCCTGCGGCAGCAGAGGCCGGCATGACGTTGCACCAGCCTGAGGCGCGCCGTGGGTTCTCCCGGGGATGTTGTCCCTGGATCCTGGGACCCTGGCAGTGGCGGGCTGCACAGGCTCCCTGGAAGGGAGGTGTGGATCGTGACCTGTGCTCGCACACAGGCTTCTTGGTGGCGGCAGCAGCAGCCTTAGCGTCTCATGCCCATCTCTGGGGTCTGCGCTTTTAGCCGCGGCTCGTGCCGTCTCTGGAGCTCCTTTAAGCAGTGCTCTTAATCCTGTCTCCTCGCGCACCAGGAAACAAAGAGGTAAGAAAAAGTCTCTTGCCTCTTCGGCAGCTCTAGACTTTTTCCCGGACTCCCTCCTGGCTAGCCGTTGTGCACTAGTCCCTTCAGGTTGTGTTCACACCGCCAACCCCAGTCCTCTCCCTGCGCTCCGACCGAAGCCCAAGCCTCAGTTCCTAGCCCCGCCCACCCCGCTGGGTGAGCAGACAAGCTTCTCGGGCTGGTGAGTGCTGGTCGGCACTGATCCTCTGTGTGGGAATCTCTCTGCTTTGCCCTCCGCAGCCCTGGTGCTGTGCTCTCCGCAGCAGCTCTGAAGCTTTCCCCCTCTGCCACCCACAGTCACCGCCCGAGAAGGGGCTTCGAGTGTGTGGAAACCTTTCCTCCTTCACAGCTCCCTCCCATTGGTGCAGGCCCCGTTCCTATTCTTTTCTCTCTGTTTATTCTTTTGTCATTTGCCCTACCCAGGTATGTGGGGAGTTACTTGCCTTTTGGGAGGTCTGAGGTCTTCTGCCAGTGTTCAATAGGTGTTCTGTAGGAGTTGTTCCACGTGTAGATGTATTTCTGATGTATCTGTGGGGAGGAAGGTGATCTCCATGTCTTACTCTTCCACCATCTTCCCCGCTGTCCGATACAGGGGAGACCTATGGTATTTAATTAATTTTCTCAAGTGGTACATTCAAGACTAGAGCTCTGTTCTGAATTTTAACATTCATGGGTTATTCTGCAACCCTCAGAAATCTGTTTCCTTCAATAATTTACTTTAAAACATTGATCTCCTGGTAATTAGAAATCCAAATATGGTAATCAGGAACCTCAACCTCCCTACCTTCCCCCTTTGACTTAGAGGTGGAGACAACACCCCTTTAACATAAAGGCGTTTTGTGCAGGTCATCTGCAGCCAATTGGAGGAGTACAACAGCCGTCACGCTTTATGCAATGGGACATCTGAGGGGCCAATACTGCGCAATCCTGGAAACCACGACAAAGCCAGGACCCCAAGGCTCCCCTCCTCTGCTGATGTGGAATTTTGCCTGAGTTTGACCCAGTATGAATCGGGTTCCATGGATAAAGCTGCCAACTTCAGCTTTAGAAATACACTGGAAGGTAATCCCCTTTTTTCCACTCATTTAAATTTTCTTTTTTCCTGAATTCATGTTTATAATCTCTTATCCAAAATCCTGGGTCCAGAAGTGTTTGAGAATTCAGAATTTTCTGAGTTGAGTAAGGGCATGTGGCATGTATACATATATGGCCAATAGCCCTAGGAGAGTATGGGGGGCACACATAATCTGAAACATGAATAACTCTTTAGCAAAATATATGAAAGTACCCACCAGGTCAATAAATTGAGACAAGAGGCAACGTAATGGAGAATAAAGTCAGGTTTACCACTAAAAAAATATTGGTGCCAAACAAAATAATACATTTTTTTACCTTTTTGTATTTTGGAATTATAGATATAGGACTGTGGACCTATAATATTTTTCTAACTTTTAGTATTTTTATCTAGTTTAAAATATTCTGTAGCTTGCACCTTGCCCTCTGCATCTCTTCCATCTGGCTGTTCCTGAGTTATATTCTTTTACAGTAAACAGGTGAGCTAGTAAAAAAATAAATAAATAAAAGAAAAAATAAAATATTCTGAATGCTAGCCTCTTTGAGACAAGTCTGTTCTTTTAACTATAATAAGGGTAAAAATCCCCGTGTAAGGTTAAGGCCCCATCCCATTATCCCTCAAGATTTCTGTGTTTCATCAGAGATTCCTTATCATAGTCTCTTCTAAGGCCTACCTACTTCTCCTGAAAAGCTCTCAACTTTGCTTGCATCTTCCCTTCAGCATCTGTTCATTCTTCTCTGCTCAGTGCTGACTGAGTCATGAAACCCATCTCTGCCATCTCAATTTTCATTATGTAAACAAACCTACAAATAAACAAAAAATAGGAATATTCACTCAAGTAACAGATTTAATCTGAGTTCTCGGGAGACATAGGGGACCAATTCTGGCAAGGCAGATAACTCAGAATTTAACACTAGACATTCCACCTCCTAAAAACTCTTTGGCAGCCTACCATGGATACAAAACTTTCTCTTTTCCTATTTCTTCCTCCTTAACTTTTTTTGTTTGTTTCTTGTCATTGTGATTGTTGCTTTGTCCTCTAATTTCTGTTGCTCAGCTGTGCAGAATAGTGTCTCTGTCTCTTTCATTTCCTTATATTTTTCTAATCCAGAAGGTCTTAGGGCCTTGCTCTACCTCAAAAGCAATTTAAACAAGGAGAGTGTCACCCTAAAGAGGAACCTCGGTGCAGCTATTAGAATAAAAATTGTATTTTCCTTAAATAATATTAGTAATTAACATTTTCCAAGTAATCTCTATGTGCAAGGCACCATGCCAAAGATTCTGTATAGTACCATCTCACTTAATTCTTACAACCATCCTCTGAGGAAGATAGCATCATTATTTCTAATTTAAAGAGAGGAAAGAGCATCAGAGATATCAGTAATTTGGCTACCACTCATTCGGTAAGTGGCAGAGCTAAATCTGTTTCTAGATTTGGCAAGTGCCAAAATCCAAGAGTTCTTTCCATTGTACTCTGATGACCCTGAGTGAGTTGAGCGTTTCTTGAAGGTTGAAAATATCAAGCTAGTCCTTCAATAATATAACATAAGAAGGCAATGCCTGGTGCCCAGGAGTCTCTGAGCCTACAGACTAAGACGAAGGCACACAGACAAGTTGGTGTTCACCACGTGGGTGCATTGGGCGTCCTGCTGGACTGTGCAGGGGTTAATAGCAGGATTCCAGATGCTGACTTAATGACATTATAAAGTGGGGCTCCATCCTTAAGGGAATTATAATACATGATAGGTTATTCAGGCAGATTTTCTAACAGTGAAAAAGCATAAACTTTGTTATTAAGGAACATGGGCTGATCACGGAAAGAAGGTAGGGGAGCCTCACTTCTCTGGGCCTCAAGTTAAAGAAGAAAACTGGCTTGAGCCATGTCAGCTCAGCCAGTGGCTTTCAAATGAGTTTCTAATGCGCAGTCAGTAGAGGACATCACATTTATTGTCAATAATTTGTGAATACTAATAAGTTATATCTGTGAATTATTTCTTTTCCAATAAGCTATTCTTATTTACTCATAGTCTAGTATGCTTTCTTGAGAAAGAGAGAAAAGACATTATAGCACATTATCTGGCACATAATAGATGTTCATTATGTGTTTGATAAATGAAAACATAAATAATATCTAGGGCTCTTCCAGTTGCACCTAACCCATCACTTAGTTTGTCTATACCTGTTGTATGAAGCCTATTTACTGGTAGCAAAATGTTAGAAAACATTGATCTGAGCCACCAACAAGAGCTTTTCCTGATCAGGGACACATTTATTTACTCTCTTCTTTAGAAATAATTTTAAGCTTACAGAAAAATTACAACAATAAAAACTGTACAAAACCACACATATACCTTCTACTGAGATTCACTTACCATTTACACTTGTTCTTTTTCTTTCTCTCTCTCTCATTCTGAACTATCTGAGGGTAAATTGCATAGATCAGAACCCTTTACTCTTGGATATTTCAGTGTGTTTTTCCCACGAACAAGAATATTCTCTTACATCACCACAGAACAGTTATCAACTTCAGTAAATTCTGTATAGGGGTAATGCTTTAATCGAATTTACTGTTTATATTGCATTTTTTTCAATACACTAATAATATCCTTTACAGCATTTTCTTCTCTGTAAAAGAGTCCAGTCTAGGGTCAGATGGCATTTAGTTGCCATTTCTCTTTAGCCTTCTTTTAATGTGAAATATTTCCACAGCCTTTTTTTTTCTGATGAGATTCACATTTTTGGAGAATACAGTCCCCCCATTTTTAACAGAATGCTCCTGTTCTCAATAGAATTTTTAGTAGAATGGATCCAGGTAATGTATTCTTAGCCAGAATTTTACAGAAGTGGTTTCGTGTCTTTCTAAGAGCATATAATATCTGAAGGCACACGATGACCCTCTGTCTCACTTTGGTGATGCTAATTTGATCACCTGTTTTACGTGTGGACCAGATTCCCCACCGTACAAAAACGGTCCCAGATTTCACCATTGGGCACACCTTCAAGCCAATTCTTATGTCTCTGTTTCATGACCCTATCATTTTTTTAGCTCTTTCTTTTTTTCTGGTACAACAAAATACTCTAGACTCACCTTGCCCAAAGCCACTGGCAAACACTGCACTCTCTTCTCTCAATAAATGCAGGTGGAATTGAATTGTCAGTTTTGATTGAACCTCACAGTTATTGCTGCCCTTTTTTCTTTTGGGTCTCATGAGAAGTATGTGATGTATTTCCCATACAACAAATTCCCACAGCCAGTCCTGGGATGGAGGAACTGTTGCATTTTTGTCTAGGAAGTTATTTATGTAACCTCAGCTTTCCTCTTGGATTTAAATGCTGAAGTAAAGATTGAAAATGTGTGATTTATGAATTGTGTAAAAGAGACACATAAAGCAAAGAAGAATTAGTATGCATTATAAAAGGTAGTCTTCTGCTTAGGTGGTCCCTGTGGAGTATGGGCTATTCGATTCAAAGAAGAATCTTCTCATGTGCAAATCTCTGACTACCCATGGTGTCCCGTATTTCACACTTTATAATAATGATAATGCAAAAATTGTACTGCTGTGGGTATTGGGGAATGGGGTGGGCTGGCAGTTTAGAGAAGTGGTTAAAGGCAATCAAACTGACTGGGATTTGATCTAAACTCTACCACTTCCTAGATCTGTTACCTTCAGTAAGCTATTTAACTCTCAGGGCCTTAATTTCATCATCTGGAAAATGTAGATAAGAATAATAACTTAGAGGGTTCATGTAAGGATTAAATAATATAATATATGTAAGGAACGTATAACATTTCTTCAAAAAATGGCAGCTATTATTATGTTAAACTGGAATTAGTTTTTGACAACTCAGTTATCAGTCATTAATTTTTCTGACAATTAGCTTACAAACTAAGTATAGACTGCATCCTGAGAAAATAAATCATGATGTGCTAGGTGCAGAGAAAAATATAGGGAGGAGGAAAGATAGAAGAGGAACTTTCTTGAGACAGACCCAGGGAGGGAGCATTTCTGAAGGTAAAAGCTACTGCTTTTCAGAGTGAATTCCCAGAAGCAAGGAGTCAAGAGCAAAGGCAGCTCCTGATACCTAAAATAGAAGAAGATGCAGGAACAAGGAATGACTCTAATTTAATGGTATGTTCTCAGCCCCAAGCACAGTGCAACTTAGAACCATGGAACATATAGTTGGAAGACATTTCTCAATGTATTCAGTTCAACATCTCTCATTTTGCTGAGATGCACACAATAATAGTATCTCTATGTGGTCTTTCAAGAACAGAGATCAACCTACCTCATAAGGGAGAACAGGATGTTCTTTAGGTTAAGACAAAATCTAATTGCGTCCTCCATGAACCTGGTACTCTGTGAAATTATAAAAGTCCAAAGACATGAAAAGATGACTACTACACAGTTTCTGACCTTGAGGAGCTCACCAGCTGGTGAGAAAACATCACACAAACCCATAAGGAAAACACAATATGATGCTCAATATAAAATGAGGTAGGAACCCAGAACTAAACCAGAAACAACTCCCAACCTGGAGAAATTGGAACCGGATCTTGAAATAGCAATAATTTCTCACCAAGAAAAGCAGAGACGGAAAGGCACTTCTAGCTGTGGGAACAACATATGCAGTGGAATAGAAGTATTGAAAGCATAAGATTAGATACAACAAAATGAGAAAATGTATATGGCTAGAATATTAAGTTTGTAGTGGGAAATAACAAAGAGGTATAGAAGGTTTAGAATATGCCATGAATACCCATGTTTCTAAATCTTCTCCAGAGAGGAAAAAAATAGGCTCCTAAGAATATGTCCACAGATCCCTAGGGAATTAAGAAACTAACATTTATTCTTTGTAAATGCCATTCATATCTTCCCTGTAGAAGAGATATGTTTGAAAATCCAAAGTTTAAATGTCACGATCTAATGTTCATATCTTCAAGAACATGTCTAAATACCTTGTGTGAAACACTGCTATAGACAATGGG